CCACAACAAAATATTTTCTTTATGTGGTGGTAAAAAATATATTTTTTTGAGAGAGATAGTATTTCACTTTAATTGATTCACATGTATTTAACATATTCATATTTAATAATTTTTCACAAAGTGGTGATGAAATATATAACTTGGGAATGAGAAATATGTTTAAAAGTGCTTAGCAGAATTGATCATATGATCAATAACCTTTGAGTCTATAATTTTTGATTTCTTAAATAAGAATATGAAATATTAAAACTATGTGAATGAGAAACAAGAGTGTGCTAATAAACTTTTACTTATGGGTTTCTTCAGGTTCTCAAACATATTTCTTAGCCGTTCAATTTCAACCTTGAATTCACTTATAGTAGTGGAATTTTTTGCTTCTTAGACATAACTATATGAACCTGTCTATAAGGTTTCTGCAGAGAATTCTTGTACCTCATTCTTTGCTTAAGGTAGTGGACTTCCCATGGTGTATTGAGCCTTCATAGAGAAGGTACACCATAAATTATAGTTATTGTTTTATGAGTTCTCATTGTTACTCGATTCTTACTTTCTTGATGTAGTTTGGAGTCTTTACTTGTTATTTTTGAGTTGCCAGTATTGCGAGATTGTAGCATACTTCTCTCCTGCTTTCTTTAGCACTAACTAGTGATATTGTCTCATTTAGAAATGATATATATTCTTTTCTCAAGATTTGAATTCTTACCTGATTGTATTCTTTATTTAAGTCTTATCATGAATTGATATACTTTTTCTTTCTTTACCTTCTTTTTAGGATAGAAACATATTTACTAATTTTCATAGTAAAGTAATGATATTGATCAAACTTTTGCCACTAGGTTTTAATAAGTGAAGATACTATATGACTGATTTATTTATTTGTTTTACTAACTAAGTTTTTAAAGTAAGATAATATATTATGATAACATCCTTTACCTTTGGAGTAGGTTTCTTTGACTGAATTTCTTTTTTTTTTTTTGCATTGGGTAAAAACATAAAGTCTTGCTTATCTATGATCTTATTGAGTTTTAGAGCTAAGTCATTATCATCAAATCATCTTCATCATGCATCAAAAATTAGATTTTTCGATTTTGGTTCAATCTGTGTAACTGATTTTCTATTTTTTTTTTAAAATTATTCGAATAAGTTGTGATCAATTTAAGTAATTTTATTTTTCAATTAAAATGATAGATAGTATAGATTAGTTAGAATTATCTATTAACTTGTATAGAATTTTCTATATAAAAATTTGTATGAATAACTCAAATGTAACTTCCAATAAAATTTAGGTTTTAATGCAATAAAGACCAATTGAATAAAAAAAAAAAAATTTTTACCGGCTAGGTAATGACTGTGGCATGGCTAGGCTGTGGCGGCTATAATCAAATCGCAGTTGGATAAATATAACTGTATGACAAGAGTGTGGTTGGAGCCGGATGTGGTTGGGGTATGGGAGCATCTTACTAGTTGCACGGCTGTTGGTGACTGCACTTTACTAGCATGTGGGTTTTGGTGGTGATGGACTGGCTTCTTTCTAACTATGAAGGTCAGGGATGACTGTTGTAATGGTTGATTATAAAGACTTGCTCTTTTTAGTTTTTTTTTTTTTTTTTGACAATAAAGATGGAATATAATTTATAAAAGAGTATTGGATTTTGCTATGATACTATGTTATGAAAATTTGAGTTGCGTTCTCAATGAATAATAACATGCTCATATATACAAGTTTTAAGAATAAAAAAAAAAGTCATAATTAATTACAAAACAAAAATACATTTTCCTTTAATGCCCTTCAATCTAATTAACCCCTATTATACATAAAGTGCTATATTTAAGAAAGCAAAATATCCATGTGTTGCCTCCATGATAGAGCAGCCATAGAGAAATAAATTACAAGAAATACGAGAGGAAATTATTTTGCATTTCGTTGAAACTTGAAAAGTTATTTGGTTTAGGGAGAAGTGTATGACTTTAGTTTGTGGGAGAAAGAAAGTTGGGTGAGAGTCACACTTTTTACTCTAAACTCTATTGAGAACTCAATATTATTCTAAATTTCTGCTTTTTGAAAAAATTAATGAACTCAATAATATATTTTATGGTATCTCTAAATCATGTAATAAATAAATGGTGAAATATGAATTAATTATTATAAATAATTTCCACAGATTTTATAAATGTCATTAATTCATTCCAAATATTAGTTAAAAAATACTGAAATATGAATGACTGTTATAAGTAATTTTTATAGGTTTTATAAATGTATTAACTTATTTTAAACTTTAATCAAAAGATCATATGTATTACTTCATTACTTGATCTAAAAATTTGAGAAAAACAAATTTATTACTGCATATATTATTATTTTTAGATATAAGAGTAATCCAATATGTATTTAATTAATGAATTTTTTTTACCTTCTATTAAAATAGTTAGATCACTTGTAACACTCCGCAAACCCTTTGCGCTTAATTTATAATTGTGAACCTTTATTTATTAGGGCCCTAAGGCTGCTTAAACTCTTTAAATTATTTTGTTGTTTTAATTTTAACTAAATATCATATTTTGTAAATTAAATTTGTAATTTTAATTTATTCTCAAAATTTATATTTTTTTATTATTTTATCATAGAAATTTTATTTTTGTTATTTAACATAAATTTTCAAGAGAAAAAGACGGAGAAAAGGTAAAAATCCCACAGGAAAACGCCCGCGGGAGAGGACCTGCACGTGCGGTGTAACGGCCCCAGAAATTTGAAATGAAACATGTTTATTAAAAAGGTCAAATGCGGAAGCGAAATAAAAATTTTGATTAAACATCATTTACACTAAAACCAAAAACGTGCTCAAAGTATAAAAGAACAAACTAACTAAAAGAGAAACTTGAAAATAAAAGCTATAAATATGACTACGGAGTCTTCAGGCGTCCCCTTCGCCGTCTTCCTGCGGAACGGGCTCGGGAACAATATCTTCCTGATCTGAAATGATTAAATAAGGAATGAGCTACACCAGCCCAGTAAAGACATCACACTATCTCACCGTCACGGAGGTAAAGGTGGGTAGAAAACACAAAAGACCAATGGAGCATAGTTTACAACAAATTCTTTTATCAATAATAAAATCCTCGCTATCCACTTACCTCGGTAAAATTCATAAAACAATATACGAAAGTAATAACATTATCATCATCATGAAATCATAGGAACTGTATAACATAATACTTATCACGCCTTTTGCATCTCAATTATGACACAACATATTTCTCCTTATTTACCAGCCTACTAGTATCCATGGGGATCCATAGGGGTCCCGCTACCCGTGAACCTTTAACACTTGTAATCAGATTCCAGGGCTGTCCCCAAACTCTGTCCGGTATGGGCACCAAAACTATAAACCTCAATACCCTGTCCGGTATGAGGGTGAAATGGGCCGTCCCCATACCCCGTCTGATATGGGTGCCAAAACACATAAGGTCTCCATACCCCGTCCGGTATGAGAGACCACAATCCCAGTAGGGTTTCCTACGGACTCGGTCCGTCCACCATCTCCCAGGATATCTAGTCAGGCTGACCATATTATACAATTATCAATTTACATAATCTTTCATTCCCCTTTTTCCTCAGTCAGCATCATCAAATCACACACAAACAGGTAACCAATAATTCATGCCAAACAAGCCAACATACAACATCGGGTTCTCAGTCATTCAACCCATCATCAATAAAACAGTGATTTATGCACACGAAACTATGAAATGAGAACATCAGACATCATACTGCATTTAAAACTGTAAAATAGAACAAACAACAACTGACCGACAAATACACCAGACTCGGTCTCCATTAGCGACCTCAATCAATTATACATCTATAAAGTCTCAAAATACCGTTTAATTATTTATTTAGCTTTAATACCGTGATAGAAAATAGGGTGAGGGGTCCTTACTTATTTCGGGGTCCGAATACGGCTCTACAGTGCGCCTACAGGCTGTCCCTAATTTTTTCTGAATTCTTCCCGGGGAACTGAAACGCACTACTGGTACCTGCACGTGTCCCAAAAAATCCCAAATTAGACCCTGGGTCCCTTTCGGCCAATATCGTAATTCCGGCACGGCGGCTCCGCCGTGCTTCGGCGACGGCGCCGCCGCTTGCGGCGGTGATTCGCCTCGGGTTGGCCGTTTTCGGCCGAATTCGGCCACACTTGCATCGGTCCCTGCGATAAAACAACCCTAGGGCCATCGGGGGGCCAAAAAATTACAAAAAACTGAAGCTTACCGGCGGCGGTGCTATCGGGTGCGGCGGCTCTTCGGCGAGGTTCGTGTTTTGGTGATTTGGCTCCGATCAACATGTAGAGAAAAGAATGATGATCACAATGATATAAAAATTGTATCAAACAGAGGCCGGGAAGGGCCTCATCGGAGGCAAAAACTGAGGAGGGGCGCGGCGGCGCCGCTGGGTTTCGGCCGTTTAGCCGGGATTTTGGCTCTGATTTGGCCACAGGGGAACTCAGCGTGGA